TCCTTTTTATTTTCTCAACATGATTTTTCCCGCATTCTGGTATTTGTTTCAAAAATATTTTTGGAGTCATTAAATGATAACGAATGATTTGCATTACTATTTTCCTGCATCTGTGTGCAATTACTAAATTTCGGAGGTTTTAATAATTTATAAACCGACAACATTCAGTATAGCTGCAAAGAGTTATAGATAAGGGATGTCCATTAGCACAACCTGCTTGTCGAATTGTCCCGAAAAATCTCTGCAAAAAATATAGTTTATGTGGAATAAAGAAAAAATACATATCGCATTCAAAAACCCTCTGAAAATAAACATAAATTCTGTTTCTTGAATGTTAAAACATAACACATAACCGATAAAAAGGGAGTAATTGTTTTAAGTAAAAATAAAATTCAACATAAAATTAATGTCTACTATTACTATAGCGACGACCAGTATTTTTTAGTGCAAAGTGTTGTTCAAAAGCAGCAGTTCACTACTGCAATAAAAGTGCCATTCCAGTAATCTGTCTTTAGGTACCCGAAACACCGACACTTTTTCGGGATTACCATTGTATCCGCTAGAACAATTAGGCACAACACATTTTCTACCCATTTTTATTGATAAATCAAAAAACAAGTAAGAAATCGCAGAGAAAATCTAGCAAAATCTGTCACACCTAGAGAGGGAAAAAGCCCGCCAAACGCTGCTAAACAGATCTAAGTGAGAGGTTACAGGCCGCCGCTGTCTGTCTCTCTCGACCGCTCATCGTGACTACACCGGCGTCAAGTCGATGCACGGTGAATACGCTTCGTCGTAACACCTAACTTATTATACACCGTGATATCAACTTAAAAAGACATCGTTATTTGCTTCGTGAACGTTACGTCAAATACTAAATATCAGAGATTTCTTAATACTAAGAGTCTCTAAATAATAATAGTATTATGTTAAAACTGACAAGATAATCAGTGAACTTGCACACAAATCAGAGATGATATGAAAGAAAGTAATAAACAATTTATTGGAGGAATGGAATACCCAGCTTAAAGAGGAGCTTAAAACAATAAGAGAAGATTTAAAGCAAGCAAGAAATCAACTACAGGAGCAAAATCAAGAAACTAGAGATAAGCATGAAGAATGGAAGCGAGCTAAGGAAGAAATGGGAAAGAGAGTGGGTGAAGTAGAAAATCAACTCGATCGAATGGGGAGAGAAAAGAAAAGAAACAAAGTAGTGATGATGGGATTGGAAACATGAACAGTAGAGCAGAAGCAGATAATAATTGAAAAAGTGACAAAATTTTTACAAAAGAAAGCCAAAGTGGAGAGTCAAGTTAAAAGCACGTACAAAATTGCAGAGAAAGTTTATGTAGTGGAATTCGAAAATAGATAAAAAAAATAAATGTAATGAAAAGCAAGAAGAACTTAAAAGGGTCGTCAATTTACGTAAGTGATAATCTGACGAAAACGGAAAGAAAAATTCAAATCAAAATAAAAGAAGAGGCAACAAAAGAGAGAAATAATGGAAACAGGGTTAGAAGGGGATATAAAATGTTAACTGTAGATGGCAGAAATTTTGAATGGAATGAAGAAGAGGGAAGACTCAAGAAGGTAGAAAATTTTTAGTAAAGAGCCAAAAGAAAAGGAAGAAAAGCAGGAAAAATGGAAGGAAATAAGCCACAGGAAAAGGAATAAAGGATGCAGATAGGGAAATTGGAAAAAGGGAAGCTTGTACAAAATCAGGAGAAAAAGGGGTGAAGGCACTGTTTTGGAATGTCCAAGGGTTGAGAAAAAAATAAAAGCAGTTCTGGGACTACGTGGGAAAATTTGATGTGGTGGGGCTAGTAGAGACACTACCACAAGAATATGTGTGGGAATGTCAAGGTGCGACAAAGAAAAAGAAAAAGGGGAGAGCAAGCGGGGGAATAGTAATGGGAATTCGAAAAGAAATGCAAGAATTGGAAAAGGGAACCGACTAATGAAGAATGTAATACAGCTGGATAAGAATCGATGGGAAATAATAATCGTTTTATTTATAGAAAATGGAGGAAACCAAGATAAACATAGAAAAGGAAACAAAAAAAAAAGGAGATGAAAAAATACTTATAGGAGGGGATTTTAACGCAAGATTGGGCGATAAGGGGACAATAATAATAGATAAAGAAAAGGGAGAGAAAAAAGGATCAAAAGACAAAGCAAATAACATAGAAGGGAAAAAATTGTGGCAGATAATAGAAGAAATGGGACGGGAAATTTTGAAAGGAAACAAGGAAGGAAATGAAAAAGGGGAATGGACGTACGTAGGGGCTAGGGGAGAATCAATTATAGACTATGGGATTGTCAACGAAGAGGCGTGGGAAGAAATAGAGAGTTTCAAAGTGGGGGAAAGGGTAGAATCAGACCACATGCCACTAGAAATAAAAATCAAAGGAAAAGAGCAAGAGTGCGAAAAACAAGAGATTATAAACGAAAGAAAAAAAAATAGAAAAAAAGAATATGGGATGAAGAGGGAATAAAGATACAGAAGTAGACTAGAAAAAAGAAATTCGAAGTAAAAGAAGATATAGAAGCTATGATAGCAGAACTGATCAACTTAATTGTAGAAGCTTCGGAAAAAAGAAAGATATACATATGGCAAGAGGGGAATAATGGATGGAACGCAGAATGTAGTGAGTTGAAGAGAAAAGCAAGGAAAAAATTAAGAAAATGGAAGAATAACAGGGGAAGGAAAGAAGAGTACTTAAAAGCAAGAAAGAATTATAGGAGAAAATGTGAAGAAAGAAAAAGAGAAAAACGAGAAGAGGAGAAGACAATTAAGTCCCTGAAAACAGAAGAAGAAATATGGAGATATATAAACAAGGAACGGAGAAGGAAGACTGAAGTAGGAAAATCAAAATATATGAATGGAAAAAACACTTTATGGAATTATTGGGAGGTTGTGAGGAAAAATGCTGCAAAATAAATAAAGGAATCACAACGACGGAAGAAATGTGGAGAAGATGAAATAGGAAGACAGATTGAAAGACCGAAAAGAGGAAAGGCACCAGGAGGGGATGGAATCTAGGACGAAGCGTGGATATTCGGGACAGAAGGAGTGAAAGAAAGGATATTGGAAGTGGTAGATGGAGTTTGGAAGGGAAAAGGGTTTCCTCGGCAGTGGAGAGAAGGTATAATAATCCCATTATTTAAAAAGGGTTAAAAAAGTGATGTGAAGAACTACCGAGGGATCACCTTGCTCAATACGGCGTACAAGATATACGTAATGATACTAGATGAGAGGTTACGAAAGGAGATGGAAGCAAGGGGTATGTTATCAAACGGTCAGGCAGGGTTTATAAAAGGAAGAGGTACTATGGACAATGTGTACATCCTGTGGCATTTAGTGGGAAGAGAAATAAGGAAAGAGGGTGGACGAATGTACGCATTGTTCATAGATTTCAAAGCAGCGTTTGATAGCGTGAATAGAGAGAAAATGTGGGAGTATTTGAGGAGAAAGGGAGTAGTGATGCGTGCCTGGTAACGAAAATGGAAGAAATATATGAAGAAACAGTAAGGTGAGAGTGAATGGAATAGAGAGCGAGAGTTTTTATGCAAATAGAGGATTGAGACAGGGATGCCCACTCAGCCCCGTATTGTTTACAGCTTATCTAGGAGATATAGATGAAATGGTCAGAAAAGCACAGACAGGAGGGGTGGTCATGGGCAAAAAGAAAGTGTGGTCGTTAGCGCACGTAGATGATTTGGTGATTGTGGCAAAGTAAAGAGATGAAATGAAAACAATGATTAAAAATTTCGAGAAGTACGTACAAGAAAAGGAATTGGAAGTGAATGTGGAAAAAACAAAAATGGTGGTGTTTGGGAAGAAAGTAAGAAAGGAGAAGGAAGAGTGTGCATGGAGAGGGAAGAAGATTGAAGAGGTGAAAGAATTCCAGTACTTAGGATATACATTAAAGAACAATAACTCAGAGCGCATATTCAAAAAATCGTTCGAAAAGCGAACAAAGTGATAGGAATAGTATGGGGAATAGGAGAGAGAAAATTTGGACATGATTATAAGAGAAGAATGATGATGTTTGATAGTTTGATCAAAAGTATATTTATGTCCGGAGCTGAGATTTGGGGATGGAGGGAATATAAATAGAGAGAGTGCAAGAAAAATTCTTAAAATGGACATTGGGATTGGAAAAGTATACGCCGGGCTATATAGCGAGAGAAGAAATAAAAAGGGAGAAAATGAGAGTGGAGGCGGGTAAAAGGGCGATTGGATTTGAAGAGAAGTTCAGTGAGAGAAGTGATTGTAAAATATTGCAAGAATGTTGGAAAGAAATAAGAAAGGAAGGGGGAAAACATGCTTGGAACGAAAGAGACAAGTATTATGAAGGAAAGGGATATGCATGTGAAGAAATAGAGAGAATGAGAGAAATGGAAAGGAGTATGAAAGAAGAACTGAGTGTAAGAGATTAGGATATAGATAAGCAAGAACGCAGATCGAGAATATCGGAATCTAGATATAATGCAGAGTATAGAAAAATAGTAAAGGATGTCACATGTCTAGGAAAATCTGATTTTAGGAGAGAATATCAAAGAAGAATAGGCTGGAAAAACAAAGACACCAAGAAAAGTTTTTGAAGACAGGACGATCTGTAATCAGGGGATCAGCGGGACTATTTGAATCTACTGGGAGCAAAATTTTCCAGCAATGATTGATTCCCAATAAGATAATTATAGCCAGGACGCAAGCAAAGAAGAGTCTGGACCTCTTGGAAAAACTAACATATTAAGCAATTAACCTTATAAAATAATAAATTTAGCTAAATTCTTAATTCTTTACACCTGATGTTCCCTCCTAATATATGTAATTCAGGCTGTCATTTGGTTAAAGGTCACCATTCAGCAAAACACTGTTGGTATTAATCATGACGGCTTGTTGTTAAATGCAAGGAAATTCGACAACGAAAAATGTAAGGTAAATTAAATTAGAGTCATTTTTGCATCCTTGACGTAGATATAAAAAACATCACTTTTCTTAATATTTTATTACAATAATTAAATTATCGTATTCTAATAACATCATTCAACGGATTTTACAAGTAGATATGCCTTTAATATATTGGCCCTTATAAAAAATATAAGTATTTAACTTTTGTAACTATAAAACCCTCTTATCAGCCTAATAAAATGTTAAAAATACCCTCTATAGTAAAATGAGATTTTAAAACGTCTATAAAAATTGTATAAAAAGTAAAAACGTGATGTAAAAATCGTGATGCATCCAGTCTACTCCTTCCCTTCTCCTTTCTCCATCATCAACTGCCGATGTTTCCACTTATGGTGCCACATAGTAGAAGCATTCCTCGACACGTACGGACAATGCTCACATTGCAACATATTAAACTTTTTCCCACAGTCATGCACGACTCGGAGATGACTGATCAAAAGTCTCTTGCTCTTCGCCTTGAAGGGACACTGCGCACAATAAACCCACTCGTTCGAGTGCCTCTCCTGAATATGCCTCTTCAAAATAGATTTCGTCTTCGACTTAAAATCGCACTGCTGACAACACAACCACTCGATATTATTCGGATCTGCATGCTTTTGCAAAATGTGAGTCTTCAAGTTGTACCTCCGCTTAGAAGTATGGTCGCAATATTTACACTTGTACTTATTTTCGCTGTGAACCTGCTGATGCGTCTTCAAACTAGGCTTCAATTTGGTCTTAAAAGTGCACTGATCGCAATGGAACCACCCGGATTCATCGCTCGTTTGGTTTGGAGCACCCGTTTTTTTTTCCTCAACAGTCACGTGCTTCACCTTTTGGTGGAGTTTTAGGTTATATAAGCGTTTGGTTTGGAAGTCACACAGGTCGCAGTAAAACCACTTGAAGCGGACTCCATGCATGAGTCTTTCGTGGAGTGAGAGGTTATAAGTGGACTTGGTTTTAAATTGGCATTGGTCGCATTTCACCCAAGTAGAGGAGTGCTTTTGGACGTGCTTTGACAAGTTGCCTTTAAATAAGGTCTTAAAGGGGCAATGCGCACATTGAAAGTACGTCAAATCTTCGTTTATGTGCTGTACCAGATGCGTTTGTAAATCGGATTTGAGTAGGGATTTGAACTTACAGTATTTGCAATGGAAAAATTTTTTGCCGTGGTATACCATGTGTTTGCTCAAATTGCCTTCTTTAGTGCTTTTGAATGGGCATATTTTACAACTGAACCACAATTCGACTCTGTCTGCTTCTTCCACTGGAACAAAAATTATGAAGAATTAAGCTGAAAATACCGGGTTGTTGTAAATGTTTCTTGCATCGCACTTATGGATTTGCCAATAAATTAATAAAGTAGTCTATAATTCTTGTTAAAGTAATTATCAATATACTGGGTGTCTGTAAAATAGCGGATTAACTCTTCACGAAAATTTTGATGTCGAACAGTCATTTATGATTTTTAAAGCAATTTTAACATCTAGAACTCGTATAACTGAGAAAAACTTAGAAAAGTAGTCATTCTTTTTAGAAATGCCTGAAGTTGTAGGCCACGACTGCAATAGCGCTGGCGATCGGACAGCAATGAGGATCACTTCCGCTATGCCGAAGACTGGTCATCAGTACTTGCTAAGATAAAAATGATTTTGGCAAATGACATACCCTCAAACAAAAGAGAGGGTGGGTGGGCGGGGTTAGTACCTGCTAAGATAAAACTGATTTTGGCAAATCACATACCTTCTAAGAAAAGAGAGGGTGGGCGGGCGGGGCTAGTACCTGCTACGATAAGATTAATTTTGGCAAATGACATACTCTCTAAGGAAAGAGAGGGCGGGTGGGCAGGACTGGTACCCGTTAAGACTGATTTTGGCAAATGGTGTACTCTCTAAGAAAAGAAAGGGCGGATAGGGGAGGTAGTACCTGTTAAACTGATTTTGGCAAATGACATATTCTCTAAGAAAATAGAGGACGGGTGAATGGGGTTAGTAACTGCTAGGATAAGTTTGATTTTAGCAAATGACGTATCCTCTAAGAAATTTTCAAAATGTTCCAAAAATAAAACATCAAAATTGTTTTAAATAATTTACAAAAAAAAATCTCCATGGGTTCCGAAAGTAATACTATTTTATTCAAAAAATATTAGGCACTGTCATTCTATCATTTATGACAAATCATATCTGATTCAAGCTTTACTGTCATTTTGACACTTTTCAAAAATCTATTTTGTCAAACGATGCCTTTGATATTATTAATATCCGACAGATATGACACTACTGTCAGTAAATTAAAGTTGTCTAAATAAAGCACATTTTACAAGTTATGACACTAGTAAATGACAACGGACCAATATTTTTTTAATAAAACTGTACACCATGAGTACAGTTTTTTGGCATTTCAAAATTTTATCATTCCAGAAAAGAATTTAAAGATTCTAAAATCTACAGAAAATTCTAGATTTAAAAAGCACTACAGATTTGAAAAATTCTAAAGTTTACTATAGAAAAAAAACTTTTAGCAGGATCTAAACTTCCAAAAATTTTTAGAAATTTGACATATTTTGAGTAGTGTTTACTATACATATAAGAGGCTTCTGGAACTTGAGAAAATTTATAACTTCCCAAGCCTGTTTAAAGTATGTATTTATTTATTACCAATACTGTTTATTACGTAGTTTGGTCTATCAAAATTTTATCTGTTGTGAAAAATATTTAGCGATTCTAGAATGTATGGAAAATGCTAGTTTTGAAAAATTCTGTACATTTTAAACATTCTAGAAGTTGCCATAGAAGAAAACTTGATAAGTCTTTTAAACCTACCGAAAATTCTAAAAATGTTCTTGCGATTTGACATTTTTTGAACATATTTTACTAAATGGGGAACCCCTACCACTTCAAAGCAATTGACAACATCTATAACTTCCATGGCATTTTTACAGTCCACTGATTAATCGCAACTATTTTATGTACTTGGTATTTCAAAATGTTATCTTTCGGAAAAAAAATTTGAAATTCTAGAATCTATGGTAGATCCTAGATTTGAAAAGCACTGCATATTTTGAGAATTCTTGAGTTTGCCATAGGAGAAAACTTCGTAACGCTTCTAGATAGATTGAAATTTGCAAACATGTTTAGTAATTCTTACGATTTTTTTAGTCGATTTTATTAAATGGAGTTGCAAAAAAATTAGAACATTTATAACTTCCAGAACCCTTTTAAAATCCATTGAATTGCAGCTGCTTTATGCACTTTGTTATATCAAAATTTCATTCTTCCAGAAAAAAAATCTAGAAATTCTAGAATTTATGGTAAATCTTAAGTTTAAAAATACTATAGATTTTGACTTCATAACGCCTCTAAAGAAATCGAAATTTCCAAAAATACGTAGAAATTCTTGGGATTTCACGTTGTTTGAGTAGATTTTACTAAATAAGAAACCTCTAGAGCTTCATAAAAATTGAGAACTTTCAAAACCCTTTCAAAGTTCGCTGAATTTCAATTGTTTTACGTATTTTGGTATTTCAAAATTTTATCTTTCTGAAAAAGAACTTGTAGATTCTAGACTCCACAGAATATTCTAAATTTAAAAAGTGCTATAGATTTTGAAGATTCTATAGCTTGTCATAGAAGAAAACTTCATAATATCCCTAGGCAAACCGAAATTTGCAAAAAGGTTTAGTCATTCTTGAGACTGGACATATTTTGGGTAGATTTTACTAAATGAAGAAAGGAGCTTCTAGAACATTTATAACTTCCAGAAGTCTGTAGAACTGTACTCATGGTGTACAGTTTTATTCAAAAAATATTGGGCAATGTATTAAAAAATTCATAAAAAATATCTTAATAAGTAACTGAGTAAACAGGGGGCAGAATATTTAAAATTTGTGGTCAAACAAACTTTAGCCATTTTTCTGGTCCACTCAAAGCTATAACAGGTAAACCTCTCATAATCCGTTTGCATACATTTTAGCGACCCTGTATACACAAATAAAGGCGACAAATTCCACAACCCACTACGATGTAAGAAACATTCATAACCCTCTGCATACTTACGATTTTTATCCGACTGTCTTTTAGGCGGACGAATTTCTATTTCTTCTTCTGTTTGCGCAAACTCATCTTCATCCGCTGAAACACAGTCATCAAACAAACCATGTCTTAAATCTAAATACTTAGAATACGTCGTAAAGCGGCACCTATGGCATTTGTACACAGTATATTCTTCAGGGTCCTGGACGACATGCCCCTCCCTCACATGTTTCTTTAAGTGTGTACATAAGTCACTTTGAAAATTATCACATTTCGCACACGTATAGTGATCTACAATGCGCTTTCTGCAGTCAAATAACTCATGAACGTTAAGAAACCCATGCTTATCCAGATTGTGCCTTCGCAAATCCCCATGAGTCCTAGTCCTAAACGGGCACTGCCCGCACCGGAACCACTCAACGCTTTTCGAATTAACCCCCATCTCCACAATATTGTACTGCAACTGCGAATACCGGTGCCAACTCCTGTGGTGTTGTTGCAGCCGCATCAAAAAAACCGACTTGTAGGGACAACGTCCGCACTGGTACCATGTCGCACGCACACCATGCTTCATAATTTTATGCTGTCTTATGCTCTTTTTCTTCATCGCGAAGTAGGTGCACTGGTCACACTCTAACCATTTCGGTACGTGCACTTTTTTGTGTTTTTTAAGCAATAGCTTCCGCTTTGTAACAAAAGTGCACTTGTCGCACCGGTACCACTCATTGTGGTTGTTTTCCAAGTGTCGCAGCAACGACTCTTTGCGTCTAACTTTGTATGAACAAAAGTCGCAGTGGAAGAAGTTGTTTTTCTGTAAATCGTGAGTGTCGCAGTCGCTTTTTGGGGCGCATTGAATGAAGAGTTTGTGTCGGATTGTCAAATATTTCGAGTATGTTGTAAAGTCGCAGTTTCCGCACTGGTATATTTCGAACGGGTCTGGGTTTTGCAGCGCATGATTTGCTCTGATGTGTTGTTGCAAATGGACCAGAAAATTAGTTTGGAAGTTGGTACAACTTTGACATTCATATAGCTCGGGTTCAATCTCTGCGCATTTAAATATTTCGTGGTTGTGTAAGAGGGGTTTTTTAAAGTCTAAGTCAAGTTCTTCGGTGAGTGGTTTTTTTGAGTCTAGATCGAGTTCTTCAGTGATTGATTTTTTTGAGTCTATGTCAAATTCTTCTGTGATTGATTTTTTTGAGTCTAAGTCAAATTCTTCTGTGATTATCATGGTTGTCGGGTTGTGGTTTTGGGTTTTTTAGGGGTGAAGAAGCAGAAGTGAGGTTATAATGTTCATTATTAGAGTGGTACCCCGAATAATAATAAAAAACTAGAAAATACAGCAGTTACGACGGAATTGCTCTATTTATAGTTATTATAGTGTCAACTAACTTACCATAAACTTGCTAAAGTATCAAACTAACTTAAGTAATTGACATTTAATTAAGGGATGCGCGTGCGCATGAACCGAAGAGACGACTGTGAAGGAATTTTATGCGAACTACCAGCAATTCCGATGGTATTGTGGCTGATGCATCGTGCTGTTACCTGCTTAGTAACTGTTCTCTACTGTTCCCATGTTGTTCAAATGTATCGCAACGTTATGCATTTATTTTGATGTTATACAGCTCAACAAGTACTGTTTGAGTTGGCAATCTGAAAATGCTAGATTTTTTACAAAATTTCGTATTTTTTTTTAGAAGTTATATCACTTGCACCAATGTATACCAAGAAATCCAAAAACCCAAGAACTTCAAGAAATCCAATAATCCAAAAATTCGAAAAAATCTAAAAAATTTAAAAAACCAAGAATACAGGAATTGGTAGAAACCCAGAAACCTCAGGAAATCCAATAATCCAAAAAATTAAGAGAACCCACAAAAATTCGAAAATTGCAAAAAATCAAAAATATCCGAAAGATCCATTGAAACCAAAAAATCCAGAAAATGTAAAAAATTCAACAAACCTATAAAATCCGAAAATTGTAAAAAATCCAAATATCCAAAAAATCAAAAAAATCGAAAAATCCAGAAATTCGGAGAACCCAAACAATCCAGGAAATCCAGACAATGAAAAAATCCAGAAATTAAAAAAACCAAAAAGTACAAAAAAATCATATAATCCAAACAAGCCAGAAAATAGAAAAAACGTAAAAATATAAAAAGTTTCAAAAAATCAAAACAATCCAAAAAACACGGAAAATACGAAAAGTCAAAAAATAAAAAAAAAATAAAATCAATTAAATCCAGGAAATCCAGACAACTAAAAAATTCAAAATATAAAAACACATCGCAAAAGTACAAAAAATATCCATAAAATCATAACAATCCAGAAAATCCAGATCTCGGAAATCCAAAAAATCCGAAAACTTTAAAAAAATCCAGAAATTCAGAGAACCCAAACAATCCAGAAAATCAAAAAACCGTAAAAATATAGAAAGTTTTAAAAAATCCAAACAATCCAAAAAAAACGGTAAGCCCAAAAAGTCCAAAAAATAAAAAAAAATCAAAAAAATCTTGAAATCCAAAAAAGTCTTAAAAATCAAACAATCCAAAAAATCCGAAGAATTCAAAAAATCTAAACATTCCAGAAAAACCAGAAAATCCAAAAAAGCATAAAATCCAACACTTCCAAATAATCCAGAAAATCAAAAAAAAAAACAAATCCATAAAATCCAAACAATTTCAAAAAATCCAATCATTGCAGAAAAACTTGAAAGCTCAAACAATCCAGAAAATTCAAGAAATCCAGAAAATCCAACAAAATCCAAAATAATCAATGAAATCCATTAAATCCAAAATATCTAAAAAATCCAGACAATCAAAGAAAATTCGAAAAATTCAAAGAATCCAAAAAATGAAACAAACCCAAGAACCTTAAGGAATCTAATAATCCAAAAAATTTAAGAGAACCCACAAAAATCCGAGAATTCCAAAAAATCAAAAATATCCAAAAGATCCATTGAAAGCAAAAAATCCAGAAAATCCAAAAAATTCAAAAAATCTATAAAGTCCGAAAATTCTAAAAAATCCAAAAAAAAATAAAAAATAAAAAAATCTGAGTGATCCAGAAAATTCTAAAAAAATCTATAAAATCTAAAAAATCTAGGAAATCAAAAAAAAAAACGAAAAATCAAAAAAAATCCAGAAATCGAAAGAACCCAAACAAGGCAGTAAATAAAAAAGTTTGGGTGAGAATCTAGACAATTAAAAAACCCAGACAATAAAAAAAATCCGAAAAGTACAAAAAATCCATAAAATCCAAACAAGCCAGAAAATAAAAAAAAAATAGAAAAAGTTTCAAAAATCCAAACAATCCAAAAAAAAGGCAAATGCAAAAAGTCCAAGTATATGAAAAAAAATATAGAAGTCCAGAGAATCCAAACAATCCCGAAAATTAAAACAATCCAGAAACTCTAAAAAATCCGAATAATAAAAAAACCATAAAAACCAAACAATTTAGAAAATCCAAAAAAAATCAAATTCAGGAAATCCAAAAATCCGAAATACAAAAAAAAAACAGAAATCCAGAGAACCCAAACAACCTAAAAATCCCGGAAAATCCAAAAATTAAAAAAAAATCTAAAAAAAATCCAAAAATCCCAAAAAGTGTAAAAAATCAAACAATCCAGAAAATCTAAAAACAAAACACAGAAATCCAGAAAATCCAAAAAATTTCAAAAAATTCAGAAAATTTCAAAAATCCAAAATTTCCAAACAATCCAGAAAGAAAACACAGAAATCCAGAAAATCCAAAAAATTTCAAAAAATCCAGAAAATTTAAAAAACCCAAAGTCCAAAAATCTAAATAATCCAGAAAATCCCAAATAATCCATATCCAGAAAATGAAAAAATTCTGAATATCCAAACATTGCCAAAAAATTCAAACATTCCAGAAAATCCAAAAAGTAAGAAAAATCCAAAAAATCCGAAAAATTTATGAAATCCAAAAAATCCCAAAAAAACTGAAACATCCGAACAATCTAGAAAAACCAGAAAGTCCAAACAATCCAGGCAACCCAAAATATCCTGGAAATTCTGAAAATCCAAAGAAATTCGAAAAATCCTAACAATCCAAAAAACTTGGTGAATCCAAAAAGTATATCCAAAAAAAATAAAAAAATCCCGAAGTCCAGAGAATCCAAACAATCCAGAAAATTAAATCAATCCAGTCAATCCAGAAAATCCAAAAAATCCGAAAAATAAAAAAAAACAGTAATCCAGAGAACCCAAACAACGCAGTAAATAAAAAAATCCACACAATAAAAAAAATCCGAAAAGTACAAAAATCCATAAAATCCAAACAATCTAGAAAATCCAAAAAATCCAAACCCAAGAAATCCAAAAAATCCGAAAAACCCAAAAACAATAAAAAATTTAGAAATCCAGAAAACCCAGAAATTTAGAAATCCAGAAAATCAAAAAAATCCAGGAAATTCAGGCAACCAAAAAATACAGAAAATAAAAAATCCAAAATGTACAAAACAATTCATAAAATCTAAACAAGCCAGAAAATAAAAAAAACCGTAAAAACAGAAAAAATTCTAACAAAGCAAAAAAACCTGGTAAAATCCAAAAAGTAAAAGTAAATCCAAAAAAAAATACAGAAATCCAGAGAACCCAAACAATCCAGAAAATTAAAACAATCCAGTAAATCCAGAAAATAAAAAAAATACAAAAAGTAAAAAAATCGATAAAAAATAACAATTTAGAAAATTAAAAAAAAACCAAATTCGGGAAATCCAAAAATCCGAAATACCCAAAAAAATAAAAAAAAACAGAAATCCAGAGAACCCAAACAATCCAGAAAATCAAAAAACCTTAAAGATATTAAAAGTTTACAAAAATCCAAACAATGTAAAAATTCCGGACAATTCAAAAAGTCCAAAAAATCTAAAAAAAAACAAAAATCCAGAAAATCCAAAAAATTTAAAAAAATTCTGAAAATTTAAAAATCCAAAAAATCCAGAAAATCCAAAAAAACACAGAAATCCAGAAAATTCAAAAAATTTAAAAAAATCCAGAATATTTAAAAAACCAAAAAGTCCAAAAATATAAATAATCTAGAAAATCCCAAATAATCCATATCCAGAAAATAAAAAAATCCAGAAAATCCAAACAACTTCAAATAATCCAAACATTGCAGAAAATCCAAAAAGTAAAAAAATCCAATAATCCGAAAAATGTATGAAGTCCAAAAAAATCTAGTAAAACCAGAAAGTCCAAACAATCCAGGCAACCCAAAAAATCAAAAAATTTAAAAAATCCAAAATATCTAAACAATCCAGAAAATCCAAAAAGAAAACACAGAAATCCAGAAAATCCAAACAATTTCAAAAAATCCACACATTGCAGAAAATCCAAAAAGTAAAAAAAAATCCAAAAAATGCATGAAATTAAAAAAATCCCAAAAAAACCTGAAAAATCCGAACAATGAAGAAAGCCAGTAAGTCCAAACAATCCATACAACCCAAAAAATCCAGAAAAAGTAAGAAGCTCAAATAATCCAGAAAATCAAAAAATCCATGAAATCCGTTAAATCCAAAATACCTAAAAAATCTAGACAACGCAAGAAAATCCGAAAAATTCAAAGAATCCAAGAAATGTAAGAAACCCAGGAACCTTAAGAAATCCAATAAGCTACAGAAATCGAAATATGTACCCAAAGAAATTACAAAAAAAAAACAAATTTTAATAATCTAAATAATCCAAGAAAATCCGAGAAATGCAAAAAACCCAAAACCTCAGGAAATCCCAATAGTTCAAAAAAACCAAAAAGTTCAAAAAATCCAAAAATCCAGAAAGTCCAAAAAGTTCAAAAGATCTAGAAAATCCAGAAAAAACAAGAAATCAAAAAAATTACATGAAATCCAAAAAATCCACGAAAATTCGAATAATGCAAAAAATCAAAATATCCGAAAAAATAAAAAAAAACAAAAGATCCGGATAAGTAGTCCAAAAAATCCGAAAAATGCAAAAAACCCAAGAGCCTTCGGAAATACAAATAGTCCAAAAAATTGAAAAAATAAATAAAAACGAAAAATTGCAAATCGAAAAATTGAAAAGTTGCGATTTTTAAGAAAATCTTCACTCTATTAAATACCTTTACGGAAAAAGAATGTTTTTTAACTGCTTATTTAATTAAAATTGTTAAATGTAAAAAAACACCATAAAACAACAAAAAAAAAGTTTCAAAACAAAAAACGGACCATTTCATAAGAAAGGTTTCTTAACGTCTCTGGATAAAGTTAATTGTACTTCAGGGGCGAGTTCTACAGAAAACACCTCTGAATTATTGGTAGCAATGTTAGCATGTCAATTCACGGTTGTCAATTTTGACATGAGCGCGCCTAAAAACCAATGAGAAGATAGCAGCTTTTGAACTTGTGCCCCAAATTTGAATTTGACATCAGGCATGTTATCATGAAATTTTAAACATGTTGCCAACTTGTCAAAAATTACAAACATTAATAGTTACTAGGTATTCAACAAGAAAAATAATAAAGAACAGTACTTCAACTTTTTTTTTCAATAAATAAATATAAAATCTCATACATCCTAATACACAATATGCTACACCACATTTGACGAAATCATTTCCTCTTTCAAATTATTGCCTTCAAGCTTCTCTGTCTGACTATCTTGACTCTGAAATCGTCACCCATTTAGACGCCACTACAACAACCATCACGACGCTACCTACCTTCTTTGCCCCTATCCCATGCACAAGAAACAGATGTGAAACCAGCAGCTTCTTACTCTTAGTCGTGAACGCGCAATGAGCACAATTTTTATCCACATGCCTATGCAGATGCTTCTTCAGCTGGTACTTCTGCGCAGCTATGAACGAACAATGCTGACAATAAAAATAATCGCTGTTCTCCATAACCCCGTGTTTCTTCAGATTATGCGTCTTCAAGCGACTCTTCTGCTTCGTCCGGAAGGGGCACAGTTCGCACTGAAACCACTGAATCTGCACTTCCGTCGCATGCTTCGCAGTGAAGTGCTGCTTCAACTTACTCTTCTGACACGACTTGTAGCTGCAGTGCTCACAGTTAAACCACCGAACCTGATCTTCAGCTGTGTGTTTAGCGGTCATATGTGCCTTTAAATTGGACGTTTTGTACGACTTGTAATCACAGTGTGGGCAATGCAGCCACCGGATCTCCTCCGGATTTGAGTGATGCAACTTGATGTGTCGCTTTAAACTAAGTTTGGAGAAATTTTTCAGGGGGCACCACTCACATTTGGCTGGTTCGTGGATAAGAACGTGCCGTTGCACTTCGCACTTGCGTTTAAATTTCGAAGGACATACTTCACAGTGAAACCACTGGATTTGATCTTCGGAGAGGTGTCGAACGAGAATGTGGATTTTCAATAAGTGGTTACTTTTAGCTTTGTATGTACACTCTTTACAGTGGAACCAGTAGACGTCGTTCGGGGAATGCCAAAACTTCATGTGCTCGTTTAAGTCTCTTTTGATTTTGAATTTGAAAGGACAGTGTTCACACTGCAGCCACTCATTAGGTAAAAGATGTGGGTGCTTCCGTAACATGTGTCTAGTTAAAGCTTGTTTATATTGGCTTCTGAAGTAGCAATGGTCACATTTAAACTCCTTATTGCATGGAGAGGGGGTTTCAAGATTGTCTTCTTTGAAATACATCGACGAAGCGTCCCCATTTAAATCTCTGGAGGTACATTTAATAGAGAACGTGTGTTGCGTGAAGAGATACTCGGAATATGTTTCAAAATTGCATTTTTCGCACCGATATTTCGGACAATCGCTCGAATTTATTGCAAAGTGACCGTTCTCGGTGTGTTGCCACAGGTGTATTAAAACGTAAGTCCGGAAACTGTGACATTGTTTACATTTGTACTGGCTGATGATGTCTGTGCACTGGAATAACTTCCGACGGGTGCATTTTTGAAAGTTCTGTTCATTTTTTACAGTGACTGAGTTCATTGGCAAAGACATGCACTTTTGCTGAAATTTTAGGTTATAAAGTGGTTCGAAAATATTTGTGCACACCAAAAAACTTACTTCGGTGTGTTTTTTGGGTTTCTAATAAATAAAAATCACAGATAAAAATAGTATTCCTTTTAGGTTATGAGTTTGTCAATATTTGACAGCGCATGACAGCGATGACAGTGACATGTGCGAGTGAAAGCAAAGTAGAACAAGTGTGGAGACAACCATGGTACCATGGTTGTCTCCACCATGTACATGGTGTGTTTCTTTTTTCTGTGTTATTGTAGCATTAACATGTATGCAATATTCTAGTTCCTCTAGTTTTTGTTCTACGCTGCTGACTAAAATGTGTTGACTGTTGATCTATCACCGATTTTCCATCAACAACCATAAATCCAACAAACACTTTTGCTATTTTTCGGCGATTTTTCGCAGGGAAACTGAAAAGAAAATTAGGAAGAGCATCACGAACTCACATAGACTGACGTTGTAGAGATCCACTAAAACAGAGAATGCTTCAAGAACAGTGGACAAACATCAAACAGAAATAAAATTGTTATTTTATCAAAAATCTTTCCTTATTCTTTGTATTCACTTCGAATTCTTGCGAAAATTCAGAAAAGACAAATCCAATACATGTTTGTGATGGATATTTTTCAGCAATTTTTTATTTCTTGTAAGAAGTTTGCAATTAAGCTCTTGAATATTCTAATTTAATAATTTTTCTTTTTTTCAATGAGAAATTTTTCGATTTACATTAATTTTATTTGTTTCTTCAGTTTTTCGTTTTGTAAATTTTGTAGTTTTAGACTTTTCAATTTTTCCATTATTCCGTTTTCATATTTTCGTTTTTCCAAATATAATTTTTTCAAATTTTTTCGTTTCTCGACTTGCAAAATTTTCAATTTCAATTCGCTTCTTCAATGTTTCGATTTGCAATTTTTCGTTTTCTAACATTTTAACATTTTTCGTTTATTCAGTTTTCCAAAATTTCAGTCTTTAATTTTTCAATTCCGCGATTTTCGATTTTTTTCATTTTTAATGTTTCGATTTTATAATATGAATTTAATTTTTTCGCATTTACACTTTTTGGATATTTAAATTTCTCAATTTTTAATATTTCGATTTTTCACTTTTTCGTCCCTTCAATTTTCCAAGTTCTTGGCTTCCAATTTTTAGATCTTTCAACTCAAGTTTTCATTTTAACAAAAATAAAAAAACAATTTCAAAATCGAGAACATGTAAAAATTGCAAATCGAAGAACTAAAGAAGCAGAAAATTGAAACACTGAAAAACTAAAAGTCGGGAAAAATTAATGAATCGAAAAATTGTAAAATTGAAAAAGTAAAAAATCTCTAAAATTAAAATTATTATTACATATTTAAAACTAGAAAAAGTGCATTTTAAAAATTGAACTAAAAAGTCTAAAAGTTGAAAAATCGAAAAATTGAAAAATTTCACATTGAAAAAAGAAATATTAAACAATAAGAATTAAAAACTAGTGCTTGTAAAGATAAGACTAATTTTGGCAAATCATATACCCTTTAACAAATAGAGGGCGGGTGGGCGGGGCTTGTACTTGCTAACACAAGACTGATTTTGGCAAATGATATATCCTCTAAGGAAATAGAGGGTGGGTGGGCGGGGCCAGTATTTCCTAAGATACGGCTGACTTTAGACAGTGATGTACCGCCCATTCTCCCTCTATTTTCTTAGAGGATATGTCATTCATCAAAATCAATTTTATCTTAGCAAGTACTAGTCCCACCTACCTTGGCTTACGACGAATAAAACAATCATCACAATTGAGATAGGTCGGATAGGCGGAGCGGGGCTTATATTTTGTCTTCTTTTCTTAATATACATTTTCACAACAAGAAACTTAAAAAATAGTTAAAATGGTAAATTTTTGCAAGGAAATATGGATTTTGCAATTATTAATTATTAATAATTATTTTGCAAAATTAATATTTCCTTATACAAGTTTTCCATTTTAAACATGTTTTAAGATTCATGTTATGAAAAGAAGTCTACACATATTAAAACAAAAAGACAAAGTGTAAGACCGCTCACCCGCCCTATCTCAATTGTGACGATTTTTTTTATTCGCCGTGAACCAAGCTTAACTGCAAAATACGTATTTCTTTACAAGAAATTAAAAACATGTTTTTGTGTATGGTGTGCTTCAAAGAATACTATGTATATTAAAAAAAGGCAAAATATAAAATTTCCCCAAAATTTAAACATTATCGAGTAAAGGAATCACGGAACATGATAAATTAAAACTGAAGTCGTACTTACCCCGTTTTCAGTCCTTTTCGGAAAAATATCCATTTTCTTTCGTGTTCGCAGCACCAACACAACACATTTTCACTAATATTTATTAATAATAAATTAGAAATTCGCGTAAAGAGCCCTACTTTTAACCCAAATCGGAGCTGCGATGTTGCTGCCATCAGACCGAAATCTAAACTGCACACAAGGGGCCGAAAATTGTGACCTTTGCTCAGGTAGTTCACGTGACAGTGACGTCATCGTACGTCACGACGAGATTGCAAAAATTATTTTTCAGATTTTGGCTGGGAAATTGCACATTTTCGGGGTTAATTTAATAATATTTAAACAAATTGCTTTGTTTTCAGTAACTTTTCCAAAATTTAAACATTGTCGAGTAAACGAATGACGGAACATGATAAATTAAAACTGAAGTCGTACTTACACCGTTTTCAGTCCTTTTCGGAAAATATCCATTTTCGTTCGTGTTCACAACACCAAAACAACACATTTTCACTAATATTTATTAATAATAAATTAGAAATTCGTGAAAAGAGCCTTACTTTTAAGCCAAAACGAAGCTCTGATGTTGCTGCCACCCAAACCGAAATCAAAACTAAACACAGAGAACCGAAAATTGTGACATTTTATCAGGTAGCTCACGTGACAGTGACGTCATCGCACGTCATGATGAGATTGCAAACATTATTTTTCATATTTTGGCCTGGAAGTTAGACATTTTCAGGATTAACTTGACAATATTTAAACAAATTGCTTTGTTTTTAATGCTATCGTGTTTTTAGTAAAACGATTTTCGGTTTGATTATCATCTATTAATAGTTACTTACCATATTTGAACATTATACGTAATATTAATTATATCTAAATTTTATTTAATTATATCGTGAAAATGTATAGCTTGGACCGATCAACTTCGACCGTTTCGAAAATGTTTCCAAAATTTAAACATTGTCGAGTAAACGAATCACAGAACCCGATAAATTAAAACTGAAATCGTACTTACGGCGTTTTCAGTCCTTTTCGGAAAAATGTCCGTTTTCCTTGGTGTTCACAGCACCAACACAACACATTTTCACTAATATTTATTAATAATAAATTAGAAATTCAAGCCCTAGTTTTAAGCCAAACCGGACTTCGATGCTGCTGCCATCAGACCGAAATCTAAACTGAACACAAGGAGCCAAAAAATGTGACCTTTGCTCAAGTAGTCCACGTGGCAGTGACGTCATCGTACGTCCCGATGAAATTGCAAAAATTATTTTTCATATTTCGGTCGGGAAATTGCACATTTTCGGGGTTAATTTAATAATATTTAAACAAATTGCTTTGTTTTTAATAACTTTGTGTTTTCAAGAAAACGGTGTTCGATTTAATTATCATATATTAATACGTATCGTATTTAAACATTATAAATAATATTAATTATATCTAAATATGATTTAATTATATCGTGAAAATTTATAGCTTTGATCAACCAACTTCAATCGTTTCGAAAATTTCCCCAAAATTTGAACTTTGTCGAGTAAACGAATCACGAAACCTGATAAATTAAAACTGAAGTCATACTTACCCTGTTTTTGGTACTTTTCGGTAAAATATCCATTTTCTTTCGTATTCACAGCAATAACACAACACATTTTCCCTAATATTTATTAATAATAAATTAGAAATTCGTAAAATTGCTCTACTTTTACGCCACAAGGACGCGACGATCTTGTCGCCATCAAACAGAAATTAAAACTGAACACGAAGGACCGAAAAATGTGACCTTTGGACAGGTAGCTCATGTGACAGTGACGTCATCGCACGTCACGATGAGATTGCAAAAATTATTTTTCATATTTTGGCCGGGAAATTAGACATTTTCAGGATTAACTTGACAACATTTAAACAAATTGCTTTGTTTTTAATACCATCGTGTTTTTAGTAAAACGGTTTTCGGTTTGATTATCATATATTAATAGTTACTTACCATATTTGACTATTCTAAATAATATTAATTGTGTCTAAGTTTTATTTAATTATATCGTGACCGATCAACTTCAACCGTTTCGAAAATGTTTTCAAAATTTAAACATTGTCGAGTAAACGAATCACGGAACATGATAATTAAAACTGAATTCGTACTTACCCTTTCGGTCCTTTTCGGAAAAATATCCATTTTTTTTTCGTGTTCACAGCACCAACACAACACATTTTCACTAATATTTATTAATAATAAATTAGAAATTCACGAAAAGAAGTCTACATTTAAGCCAAACCGGAGCTCCGATGTTGCTGCCATCAGACCGAAATCTAAACTGAACACAAGGGGCCGAAAAATATGACCTTTGCTCAGGTAGCTAACGTGACAGTGACGTCATCGTACGTCACGATGAGATTGCAAAAATTGTTTTTCATATGTATTTTGGCCGGGAAATTGCACATTTTCGGGGTTAATTTAATAATATTTAAACAAATTGCTTTGTTTTTAGTAACTTTGTGTTTCTAAGAAAACGGTGTTCGATTTAATTATCATATATTAATCCTTATCGCATTTAAACATTATAAATAATATTAATTATGTTTAAATATTATTTAATTAGATCGTGAAAATTTATAGGTTCGATTGACCAACTTCAATCGTTTCGAAAATTTCCCCAAAATTTGAACTTTGTCGAGTAAACGAATCATGAAACCTGACAAATTAAAACTAACTTTTCCTAATATTTCTTAATAATAAATTAGAAATTCGCGAAATTGCTCTACTTTTACGCCAAAAGGACGCGACGATCTTGTCGCCATCAAACAAAAATTAAAACTGAACACAAAGGACCGAAAAATGTGACCTTTGGACAGGTAGCTCACGTGACAGTGACGTCATCGCACGTCACGATGAGATTGCAAAAATTATTTTTTATATTTTGGCTGGAAAATTAGACATTTTCAGGAGAAACTTGACAATATTTAAACAAATTGCTTTGTTTTTAATACCATCGTGTTTTTAGTAAAACTGTTTTCGGTTTGATTATCATATGTATATTAATAGTTACTTACCATATTTGAACGTTATAAATAATATTAATTATGTCTAAATTTTATTTAATTAAATCGTGAAAATGTATAGCTTTGACCGATCAGCTTCAACCGTTTCGAAAATGTTTCCAAAATTTAAACATTATCGAGTAAACGAATCACGGAACATGATAAATTAAAACTGAAGTCGTACTTACCCCGTTTTCGGTCCTTTTCGAAACAATATTCACTTTCGTTCGTGTTTACACATACATATTTTCACTAATATTTATTACTAATAAATTAGAAATTCACGAAAAAAAGTCTACATTTAAGCCAAAATATAGTGCCTTTTTTTTCTTAATGTTCGTAGTCTTCTTTTCGCAACAGAAAACTTAAAACGTGTTTATACTAATAGTATTAGATATATGGGGTGGGGCTTATCTTTCTTTTTATTGTTTTTTTTTTTTAGTTAATACATATAGTTTTCTCTGAGTAACACCGTCACTGAAGAACAGGTTTCACATGGCAATTCTTGTTTTTTCCCCATAACAAGAAACTGAAAACATGTTTAAAATGGTAAATTTTATCCTATACACTTCTCTACAAATTTACCCTTTTAAACATGTTTTCAGTTCCTTGTAGTGGAAAGAAAAGTATGGACATATATTAAGAAAAAAAAAAAAAGGCAAAATACAAAACCAGCCCACCCGCCCTCATCTCAACTGTGATAAGGTTTTTATTCGTTGTGAGCCAAAAGGCGGAGTTTATTGTAAAATGCTTATTTCTCTACAAGAAACTAGTATGTGAAACATGTTTTTAAGTAACATGTTATTGAAAAGAAACTATATGTTAAGGAAAAAAAATCCAAAAAATAAGCCCTATCCACCCGCCCTAATCTCAATTGTGTTGAATTTTTCATTTATTGTCAGACCCAGGGGCGGAGTTTAATTGTAAAATCGATGTTTCCCGACAAAAATTTACCATTTTAAACGTTTTAAAGTTTGTCACTGCAGTTTTAATATTAGTAGATCTTACAACAAATTAAAATAACTTAATTTATGTATAATTGATATCAAAAATTATATACTAGCTAACATATTGTAACCAATATTGTATATAATAGATATAAATTCTTAAAAAAATGTCTCGGTATTTTCAAATTAAAAATATCCAACGTTGTCAATCTAAGAAACAGTAGAACAGAAATAAAAAACAATAACCAATATAACAAACCTGCTGAACACCGGAATTACTAAAAATTTAGCAAACATTTTCAGAACCTTTTGTGTCAAGTCACTTGGGCATAGCATAATATGACAGAAAAGTTATATAAAACAGTGAAAGCGGTTATGTAATAATAATAATAAAAAAGTTTTCGCTTGCGTATTGTTTCTTTACTTGAATATTCTTTGATCACGCATGCGCATGCATTGAAAGTGCCATAACCTAACATAGTTGCCACTTGCTGTCAGAAGACAAAAAAAGTGTCATATTTTGTGTGATCGCTTGCGTTTTCTGTTGATTACAAAATGCTCCCGCTCTAAGCATTTCTTCAGATTACCTTTTACACTCAGGTATATTAATTAATTCCATCAAGTTGTGAATATTTTTTAATTCAAACGTCTCACGTTCCATTTGACAGGTCACACACGTGAAATCGCGATGGCAGAAGCTTTCAGACGGGTCGTTGAGCAAGTTTTCCACAACTGGACGGCACTTAACCTTGCCGTGGAGTATTCGGACTCCCCATATAAAACAAAAGAGGTCCGAAACAATCTTAAGTCACACACTGTTGCTAATCTTCCTTAATTTTAGATGGTGGGAGAATTCATAAGTAACATGGTACAATATTGTTTATTTTCGTCTGATGTGGACCCGTCTAGCATAGAAGAAGTACTGGACGACACCATGGACCAAGAGTTTGAAACTCTGTGTGAAGACAACTCCACAAAAGGTTAGAAACCGGTCGGTAATTCTTGACGTTAATTTTTGATTTTGTAGAAGTTGCCGCCGTTCTGTATAGGTTCATGAACATAATTAAACAAGAAGATAGTGCAAAATTTGAAGAAGAGTTTCAAAAGTTGCCGGTAAATACGACTTGTACTTTTAGGGCTCGAAAACGAAGTAGCGAAAGCGTGAGTAGCACAAATGATTCAAGCGAAAGTGCGGAGATTGGTAATTGTCCTGGGGTACCCATGGAACTGGATTCTGAATGGATGGTGGTGAAGTCGAGGAAGAGGCGCTAAATGAAGCGTTGCCTACACGAAGAGATATATATGTGTTATTTTTTCTATGTCTAATATAGAAGGGTCCTAACTATTGCATAAAAGAGAACATGTTAGTTTAAACACTCTGATCTCGTCACAGTCTAATCGATGTCCGTGTAAACACAATATCTAAATGTAATAGAGACTTGAAAAAGTAATAACGTTGTTTGTGTATTTTGTGTTGCATAACTGCGAACAAATGTCTGAGAATTCTGGGGATTTTTAGGTTTGTTGATTGGTAGTATATAAGTGACAAGTGACACTCAGCTGACTTTTGTGACGATTATTTGTAAACAAGAAAAAAATACGAAAATGAACGTATTAAACAGGAAGATGGAGAAATTGGGCATACGGATTTGGGTACTGATTTTTTTTAACCAAAAACGGGTTGCTGACAGTTATTTTGTTTAAGACTAAAAAAAAATTGGACCCTCGTTACATCACCCTAGAGCAAGTCTCGGCGACCGTAGCATACGTAGATAAATCCCTCTTTATCAAAGAATTCTTGGATTCCAAAGAGATAGTGCTTATCATGGCCCCCTCCGGTTTTGGTAAAACAGTAAACATGGACACCCTCAAACAATTTCTTCTCGGCAACTCATTCATATTTGAAAGCCACCACTTGAAAATACGCATAGAGCACCCCGAGTTTTTCAAACGCCACTGCAGAAAGCACCCTGTGATACATGTAAACTTTGCACACATCGACTGCACTTCTCATGCCACGTACTTAAGCTCTATGAAAGACCTTCTGTTTGCTACATTTAATGAACATGCCTACTTGACTGAAAAAACAGAAGATGGAAAGTTTGTGTGGTCGGATTTGACGTTACGCACTTACTTAAAATTTCCGCCAGAAATGGTAATGATCTACATGTATGACAGAGAATTGTCTGAAGAGTTAACCCAAAATGATGTGATTCAGGGGTTGCGAATATTGTCCATATTTTTATATCTGCATTGGAACGAGGAAGTAATCGTGCTCATTGACGAGTACGACGCCCCTCTCAAACAAATCATGAAACAGAAAAATATGGCAGATGCTGAGTTAATTTTAACTGATTTCACTAGTATGGTGTCAGCGGTACTAAACAATAGTGAGTGCGTGGAACGAGCACTCATAAACACCTGTTTTTGTCCAGAAGCACAGGTACCAACTTACAGGCGACATTTATTTTTAAACAACCCCAAATTTTCCAAGTACTATGGATTTACAAAAGAGGAAGTAGTGGGGTTATTCAAGTGTAAAGAATTGAAGCGGCTACGACGCACTTTAGATGATGTTCACAAATGGTACGGGGGTTATGAATTGGCAGACGAAACCACCACAATGTACAACAGTCGCTCGATCCTCACATACTTAACCCAAAGTGTCATATGCAGAAAGCCGGTACTCAGTTCTCATTGGTTTAATTGGAACCATGAAATTAAGTGGAAACAACTGTTTGCTGTACGTTGCATTCGTGAAAAAATCGAAACACTTTTAAACGGTGGCGAAATTGAAGTCCCAATGACGGGATTGTTGACTGTTGGAGACATTCTCGTGCCAAAATCACTGATTGATTTGAAGCCCGAGGTCATAAATGAGGAGGCGGCTAACACTTTTATTCAATTTTTATGCTTAAGTGGATATTTTAGTGTCAAGCGAACGACTGACGACAACGTCGTGGTTAAAATCCCTAATTTAGAAACTAAGTATGAACTTGAAAAGAAATGTCATGATGTCGGTCTTTTTCAAAGAAAGTACAAACTAGACCAGAATAAGATTGAAGAGTATGGAAACGCGTTGAAGAAGGTTGCGCAAAATAAGGATTCTAATGCGCTGATTGGTTTAAAGAACGCCGTACAAGAATTGTTTGCGTCACCAGCGGTACTACCAACTAGTGACAATCAATTTTGTAGTCTTTTGTACACTTTGGCGTACTGTGAGGACTTATACGTTGCAAAAGTGAAGAGGGGGGAAGAAGTGATAGAGACTTTAGATTTCTTGATTGTTGAGGAGAACACAGGAATTATGATGGAGGTTAGATTGGACTCTGAGTCTGCCGAAAAGGCACATTCTGGAATTTTTGACTATGAATCCGACGTTTTTGAGTACAGTAATTTTAAAGAAATCACTGATAAGGTTTACGTGGGGTTGCATTTAGATAAAGAGAGAAATGTTACTTTGTGTTATAGTGTAAATCAGGCGGAGGGCGAGAAGCTATAAATGTAAAGGTATAGTAATTAATACGGGTTGCAAACGTTAGGTTGGTAACGGGTTATATCTTGAATAATTTGAATAAGGTTGGTAGCACTACCAATAAAGACTAAATAATGTCAAAATATACAAAACTGACAACAACTATTCATAAGTAATATATACACACTATCGTCAGAGAACATAGAGAAGCGTCATAGTTTAAATTAAATGATTAGAAAAAATGTCATAATATTTTTAACGACGCGTTTTACTTTCGACAAATTGACATTAGTCGTTTGAGAACTCGTTTGATCTGCAGACCACAGCGCACTCAAGCCAATGTCGACTCTAAGCGTTCGGAAACGATTTGATTTATAAGCCGTGATCTGATACACATCCTAACCGGTTTCGACCATAATTTCTTGCTGTTTCAACTTTCGAATTCTCAGTTTTTCGAAATTTTAGTTTGGGGATTTTTCAGGTTACTCCTATTTATTATTCAATTTTTTGATTTTACAATTTCTCAATTTTTCAGTTTTTCTCTTCATTTTTACGATTTTTAAATGTTTCGATTTTTCAATTTTTGACTTTTAAAACTCTTTATTTGTCGATTTTTCAATTAATTGAGTTTTTTGGTTTTTCCATTTTTCATTTTTTTAATTTCTCAGTTTTTGGACATTTCAATTTTGGGATTTTTCAGTTTACTTGTTATTCAATTTTTCAATTTAACGATTTTGCAGGTTTTTGATTGTTCAACTTTTTCGATTTTTTTAAGGTTTCGATTATTCGACTTCACTTTTTTAATTTTTCGATTCTTTAGATTCTCAGTTTTTGGATATTTCAGTTTTGGGATTTTTCAATATTTCTGTTCTTCGACTTTTCCATTTTCGACTTCTGGATTTTTCGATATGTCGACTTTTACTTTTTCGAATTTTAAATTTTAGATTTTTCAGTTTTTTGATATTTTAATTTTTCAATATTTAAAATTTTAGATTTTTCGATTTCTCGATTTTTCATTTCAGTTCTTCGATATTTCAATTTTTCAAGTTTTCGAATTTTTCAAATGATTCGATTTCTTAATCTTTTGATTTTTCGACTTCGCGGTTTTGGATTTTATGTTTTTCAATTGTCATTTTGTCAAATTTTCGATTTTTTAATTTTTCAAATTTGACTTTCATAAACTCTCAATTTTCCGATTTTTCAATTAATCGATGTTTTGATTTTCCTTTCTTGACCTTCGAGTGTTTCGATTTTCCTGTTCTTCAGTTATTTAATTTTTTTTATTTTTCAGGTTTTTGGTTTTTCAGTTTTTCGATTTTTTAAGGTTTCTATTTTTCGACTTCAGTTTTTTGATTTTACGATTTTTCAGTTTTTCGATATTTCAGTTTTAGGATTTTTCAGTATTTCAATTCTTCGGCTTTTCTATTTTTGACTTCTGGATTTTTCGATGTATCGACTTTTTACTTTTTCGATTTTTAAATTTGAGACTACTCAATTTTTTGGTATTTTAATTTTTCAATATTTAAAATTTTTGATTTTTCGATTTCTCGATTTTTCATTTCAGCTCTTCCATATTTCAATTTTTCAAATGTTTCAATTTCTTAATCTTTCGATTTTTCGACTTCCCGGTTTTAGATTTTCTGTTTTTCAATTGTCGTTTTTTCAAATTTTCGACTTTTTAATTTTTCAAATTTGACTTTTCTAAATCATCAATTTTTCGATTTTCCTGTTCTTCAATTTTTTAATTTTTTGATTTTTCAGGTTTTTGATTTTTCATTTTTTCGATTTTTTAAAATTTCAATTTTTCGACTTCACTTTTTTGATTCTTCGATTTCTCAATTCTTCGACTTTTTAGATTTGGGACTTTTTAATATTTCGATCCTTCGACTTTTCGATTTTTGACTCCTGGATTTTTCGATGTGTCGTTTATTTTACTTTTTCGATTTTTAAATTTTTTAAATTTTAATTTCTCGATTTTTCAGTTCAGTTCTTCGATATTTGAATTTTTCAAGTTTTCCAATTTCTCAAGTGTTTCGATTTCTTAATCTTTTGATTTTTCGACTTCCCGGTTTTAGGTTTTCAGTTTTGCAGTTGTCATTTCGTCAAATTTTCGATTTTTTAATTTTTCAAATTTGACTTTTATAAACTCTAAATTTTTCGATTTTTCAATTAATCGATGTTTTGGGTTTCCCATTTCTTGACCTTCGAGTGTTTCGATTTTCCTGTTCTTCAGTTCTTTAGTTTTTTGATTTTTCCATTTTTCGATTATTTAAGGTTTCTATTTTTCGACTTCACTTTTTTGATTTTTCGATTTTTCAGTTTTTAGATGTTTCAGTTTTAGGATTTTTCAATATTTCAATTCTTCGGCTTTTCTCTTTTTGACTTCTGAATTTTTCGGTGTGTCTACCTTATTACTTTTTCGATTTTTCAATTTTTGGATTTTTAAATTTTAAATTTTTTAATTTTTAAAATTTTAGATTTTTCGATTTCTCGATTTTTCAATTCAGTTCATTGATGTTTGAATTTTTCAAGTTTTCGAATTTTTCAAATGTTTCGATTTCTTAGTCTTTTGATTTTTCGACTTCCCGGTTTTCGATTTTCTGTTTTTCAATTGTCGTTTTTTCAATTCTACGATTTTTAAATTTTGGATTTTTCAGTTTTTTGATTTTTTAATTTTTCAATATTAAAAATTTTAGATTTTTCGATTTCTCGAATTTTCATTTCAGTTCTTCGATATTTCCGTTTTTCAAATTTTCCAATTTTTCAAATGTTTTGATTTCTTAATCTATCGATCATTCGATTTCTGGGTTTTAGATTTTTCAATTTTTCAAATTTGACATTTATAAACTGTCAATTTTTCGATTTTTCAATTAATCGATGTTTTGATTTTCCCGTTTCTTGACTCGAGGGTTTCGATATTCCTGTTCTTCAATTCTTTAATTTTTCGATTTTTCGTTTTTTAGTTTTTTTAAGGTTTTGATTTTTCGACTGCACTTTTTGGATTTTTCAATTGCTCAATTTTTCGACTTTTTAGCTTCTCAGTTTTTGGATTTTTCAGGTTTTCCATTTTTCAGTTTTTCGATATTTCAGTTTTGGGATTTTTCAATATTTCTATTCTTCGACTTTTTCGAATTTTGACTCCTGGATTTTTCGATGTGTCGATTATTTTACTTTTTCGATTTTTCAATTTTTCGATTTTTAAACTTTAGATTTTTTAATTTTTAAAATTTTAGATTTTTGGATTTCTCGATTTTTCAGTTCAGTTCTTCGATATTTCAATTTTTCAAGTTTTCGAATTTTTCAAGTGTTTCTATTTCTTAATCTTATGATTTTTCGACTTCCCGGTTTTAGATTTTCTATTTTTCAATGGACCTATCTACTGAATAGTCGTAAAAGATACACCCTAATATAGCATGCGCAGTCACCATGTGTAAAGTTACCGCGTAATTCAAAAGGCTGAAAATGAACGAAACAGGCAGCGGTCTCGGATATAACATGGCAGATGGCGTAGGTGTTTGTTTACGTTCATCCTGTCAAAGAAGTGCAAGACAAACCGATATGACTCAGTTGCCTCTCGACGATGCCGAGCGCCACCGACCGCCACCGAGCGTTTTAAATTGCACGATGTTGATTCGCTCTTTTAAAAATTGCGGTAAAGATGTTGGCTGTATACCCAAGATGTTATGCGCAAACCTCTGTCTCTTACTAACATGCAGTAATCCTTGGTCTGTTCGTGTTTACGACTATTCAGTAGATACGTCCATTGTCATTTTGTCAAATTTTCGATTTTTTAATTTTTCAATTTTTTGATTTTTCAGGTTTTTGTTTTTTTAATTTTTCGATTTTTTAAGGTTTCTCTTTTTCGACTTCACTTTTTTGATTTTTCGATTTTTCAGTTTTTAGATATTTCAGTTTTAGGATTTTTCAATATTTCAATTCTTCGGCTTTTGTATTTTTGTCTTCTGGATTTTTCGAGGTGTCTACCTTATTACTTTTTCGATTTTTTTTAATTTTTGGACTTTTAAATTGTAGATTTTTCAATCTTTGATATTTTAATTTTTCAATATTTCTTAATCTTTCGATTTTTCGACTTCCTGGTTTTAGATGTTCTGTTTTTCAATTTTTCGATTTGTTAATTTTTCATTCCCGATTTATCGAGATTTGGTTGTTCAGGTTTTCGATTTATCAATTTTACAATTTTTTACTTTGGCCTATTTCGGTTTCTCAGTTTTTCCAGTTTTCCATTTTTTCGTTTTTTGATTTTTCCGTTTTTCCAATTTTTCAACTTTTAACTTTTTGTTTGTCGATTTCTCTATTTTTCGATTTTTCGGCTTCATCACTTTTCGATTTCTCGTTCTTTTGATCTTTCAATCTCCCAATTTTTCAAATTTTTAAGTTTTTTTGATTTCTCGATTAATCGAGATTTGGGTTTTTCGATATTTTGATTGTCAATTTTTCAATTTATAAATTGTTCAATTTTTAACTTTTCGATTTTTGGATTTTGGCCTATTTCGGTTTCTCAATTGTTGGACTTTTCGACTCCACGATTTCTTGATCTTTTGATTTTTCGATTTCTCGGTTTTTCTATTTTCCACTCTTTCGGTGTTTCGATTTTTCAGTTATCCGATTTTTTAAATTTGGGGGTTTCGATTTTTCGATTATTTTTATTTTTCATTTTTTTTTCTCACTGTTAATATCATACAAAAATTGTCACTAAAAACATTTAAAAATTCATACAAAATAGAACAGTGTTTCCAAAACATTTTCCCGAAAAAAATCCATTGGGTTACTACGATTTCAACAATATTCTTAGTTTAAGACGTTTTGCTAGTATAAAACACAAATAAAGAATTAATTCTTAGTTAAACAAAATATGTAAAATCATCTAAATATGTACCAAAAATATTCGCTTAGTCGTTAAAAAAAACAACCAAATCGCTTCTGAACGCTTAGAGTCGACAATGGCCTGAGCACGCTCTGGTCTGTAGATCAAACAAGTTCTCAGGCGACGAGTTGTCGCATCTATATTAATCTATGCTATAGTGTTGGTGACGTAATAGATAATATCAAAAACCATTTTACGCAGTACAGTGCATCAGCCACATTTACATTGGGGAATTTTTTTTAAGGTAGGTTTTAAGGTGGGCGTAAGCAACCCGTGTCTACACTGCCAACAATATTTATCTTTTTACAAAATTAAAAAAGACTTACGTAAAATTATATTAATAGTCTAATAATTGTATGGGTCATTAATTGTAAACTAAATTAAAATTAAGATACGAAAGAAAGAAGACACTAGCCACCAAGGACTATTACAAAATAAGAAGGAAAATCATACAGCTTCATCACCACTGCCGAATATTTCTTAGGAGAGAGAATAGACACTGGAAAACTTTGCTTGGGGTTTCTAAAACAAACAAACAACAAGTAAATTTTACCTCATCTGCACTGGTAGAAAGT